TTTTATTATACGTTTGAAAATAATTAAAATTTTTTAGAGCATTTTTTAAAATTTTGTACATAATTGAATTTTTTGGATGGATTTTATTATTCTTTCAAAAAATTTAATTTTTGCAACTATTTGTAACTTTTATTCAAAATTTAATTTTTTTTAGTATTTTTAACTAAAATGCATTTTTAAATCAATTTTTATTCAAAAATTCTGCTAGAATTCAATTATTTAAATACAAAAATAAATAATTTATTCAAAAATTGAATGTTTCTTAAATTTGAATTCTCATTAAGAATTTTATCAACATTTTTTTTAAATAATTGAATTCTTTTGGAAATTTTTTTAAAATAATTAAATTTTCCCAAGAATTGTATTAAAATTTTTGAAAATAATTGAATTTCAGAGAAGAATTTTATTATTAATAAAGATAATTGAAATTTTGACAAGAATTTAAAAAAATTTTTTAACATAATTGAATTTCTGCGAAGAATTTTATTACTTTTGAAAATAATTGAATTTCTGCAATCATTTGTAACTTCGCAAAAATTCTCCAAATTATATCGTACAATTTATGAACTTTTCGTCCTTTTTCAATCAAATTACGGAATTTACGGACTTAGTTCGAGCCCTGTTATAATATGAACTACACCAAAGTAAATAAATAAAAATTAATAAATAAAAAATATTAATTTAATTAAAAATTAATTTCTTTGACATACTCTCTAAATTTTAATTAGTAAAGATGGTTACTACCTTAAATTAGTAATTTCTACTATTATTTATATTATTTTACTAAAAATTTACAAATTTAAAAGTAAAAAGTCAGTCACTAATATTCAAATTAATGAACATTTTTAAAATTCTAATTTAGAGATTAAAATAAATTTCCATAAAAAAATAAATTCAAAAAAAAAAAAGAAAAAAAAAATTTCTATTCAAAATAAATAATAAAAATACGTTCATTTAAACGTTAGTAACTTTAGGGTCATTAGGGACATAATAGATTAACAATAATTATTAATTAATAATTTTTTTCAAATAATATAGATTACTGAAGATACTTTTTTTCGATTAATTTCTCCGGAGATAGTATGAGAGTTTTTTTTTCAATTTTAAATTGTGTTATCTAGCTGTGACAATATGTTTGACTCTCATATATATATAAAGATAATGAGGATCAGTGTCAAGGTTGTTGATACGCGTTAGTTTGAAGATTATCTTGAAAGTTCGAGTTGAAATATGTTAACGATAAAATTCTTTTTAACATATATGACGTTAAAAATGTGTATATATTGCTTTGAATGCACAACTTGACCCTTGTGCGAGTAAGTAACTTGCCAGCGCACTTACATTTACTATAAGTTTATGTATGTGACGTATAAACACCTAGTGAATCGAGGTTCCCTTCCTTCCTTTCTCTCTATAATTTTCTCTCTCTCTCTCTCTCTCTCTCTCTCTCTCTCTCTCTCTCTCTCTTTCTTTCTCTCTTTCTTTCGCGAAGCTTACAGCATTTTGATAACGCTCTTTTCACGGTTACGGTCACGCGATGACGCACTTTGATATCATTTTCAAGACCAATGCTGAGCAACTTCGTAATATCAACAAAGTATTAATATTTAAATTTTTTTAATAAAAACATCTCTTACATTTCATTTGCCAATATCAATCCAGAGATAACATTTTTATCTTGATCTTTGATATTCGCACTTGAAATATATAATTTAATTTTAATTTCGAATTGTGATTCATAATAGTTCTGAAAATTTATGAACGAAGTATTTTCAAAAATACTGTGCAGAAAGAATAAAAAATTTTAATTATTTAATATTTAGAGATTTATAATTTATCTTTAATTCGCTACTGAAAATAATTAAAATAAAATTTGATTTCAAAGAAGCAATAAATAAATTTCGTTCAGAAGTTTAGGAACTTGTGAATTTAATTCTTTAATTTGATAAATAAAATTTATATTTAAATTTTGTTCGGTAATTAAAAAAAATACTCCTAGGTAATAAATTATTATCAATTTTTCGGATAATTATATCGATTATTAAGTAATTATCATCGACTGTTAATTAATATCATCTTTCGACAGAATTAAATGAACTTTTGTATTTTAATCGGAAAAAAAATTTTTGATATTAGGAAACAAAAAAAAAACGAAGATAAAAAATTTTTGCAATCGATTATAAGTGAGAAATTCAAAAGCAATATTATAATATATATAGTGATTATATTGTTTGCTTTAAAAAGATTTTGTTTTCCGTGACCGTATTTATCTGGTTGGAAATATATTTTAACATTCTTACCACATAATTCTCGTTTATCAATTTTTTTTTTATTTCAAAACCTTCAAGTGAGCATTTAACAAAATTTCTATACTTTAAAAAAATTAAATTTTAACATTTTTCGAAATTTGAACATTTTTTCAGTTTTGTCAGTGAAAAAATTAAAAACGAAAATTTCTCACAATTTAATAGGAAGAACTTTACGAACAGTCGAAAAAAGAAAAATTAATCCAGTGCCATAATTTTGTATTTTAAGATATAAAAATAAATTAAATTTACAACCTGTTTTGTTGAAAAGATAAATTTAAATTTGAACATTTTGAGTAATTAAAATATTATTATTATTATAAACAAGCATTTCGTTCATTATACGTTTTCAATTAAAAATTTTTGCATCATCTTTAATTTTTGGAAATTAAATATCGAATAAAAAATTTTTTCTTTCAAATTTTCGTCATAAAAGTTGCGATTTTCTTTAGCGTGGGGAAATAGGAAGAGAATTGCGTCTCGAGTATGAGCAATTGTTATAAAATTGATTTACCCTTTATGAATGCAAATGAAATTACTCAATTAAGTACTGGCCCCGAGTCGGAAGTCACTGTGTGTCAATTCAAAGCAATTGTCGCTGCCTCGGTTAAGTCACATATTACAGAAATTAATCTATACTCGTTTGTCACTTGAGGTGAAGGAACGAAATGATCGTCGGAGGAGAAAGGCTTTGCAAGACATAAAAATTAATTTTTATCATTCGTAGGAATCGTAGGTTGAGAAAACAAAGTTTTTCTGACGCTCTTATTCCCCAAAATCCTCAAAAATATTTTTATGAAAAACTGAAAATTTAATTAAAATTAAATGAAGAAAATATGTATTCATTTTGGCCTAAACTTTTTTTTTATGCAAGAGAATTCTATTTTTTGTTTTTAAAATGTTCCGAACGTTCAAGTGAACGACGATATTTTTTTACTGCTCTTAATTTATATTTTTTTCCAAAAAATTTATTTTGTATACTGTATTTTTTATTGTTAATTATTTTGTATACTAAAATTAATTCTTAACTAATTAAATGTTTGATTTTAATTTTTTTTTTTTCAAAGATGAGTAAATTTGAAAAATATGTAGAAAAAAAAATTTCGTTCATTTGAAAGTTAATCGTCTTGAAGAAAGAAAAATATTTTACACAGTTTCTACAAGAAAATAATAAAATTCTTCTGTTTACAAATTTTTCTGTTCAAAATAATTCAACAGAAAAATATTTTAAAAATTGTCCAAGCGAAAATATCTACAAATTTGAATGAAGAAATAAAAATTAATTTATATTACAATTTTTTTTACACTTCGTCTTCAAATTTGAAATTCATTGAATTTTTTATCACGTAATTATAATAATATTATGTAAAAGATGAAAAAATTGTAAAATTTCCAAATGTTCAATTTACTCTTTCGCTTTTTAATTTATTATTACACTCAGAAATTTTTTATACCGACAAAAAATTTCGTTCATTATTGAAAATTCAGAAATTAAGATTCACTTTTAAAAAAGTCTTTATTAACAATAATTTTTTGTATTAATTTTTAAATCTTTTTTCCATTCGTTGGTTTTTGAATTTATTATACAGACAATGAATTATTGCACTTGAAACATTCGATTTAACAAAATAATAGTCGTCTCTAACCATTATTTCTGATATTTTAAAATATGATAAAACGACTCGAAAAAAATTTTCTAATAATACGAAGCTGCTTATAACGTGACTACAATATTATTACTTTTTACCATAACTAACATTCTATACAAAACTTTTTCGATTTTCAAGATTCTTTCTCAAAGTTAGCATCTACTTTTTTGATTTTCATTTGAAAAATAATTTCTTTTCCATTTTTTTTTTCACACTAGTCAGCAACAGTTTTGTTTACTTTTACGTTTATCGTTCTAAAGATAATTCGTATTCTTAAATAATTCACAATTTTTTACAACATACTTTTATCTCATAATATTCAGTTGTAAAATTTAAAAACCGGTTACGACTTAAGAAAATTCGAATTCTAAATACTGTTCCCGAAAAAAAGAATTTAAATTAATTTCTTGGAAGTGGAGAAGAAAAATTAATCCTTTGAGGGGAAATAAATAATAATAATAAATAATTTTATGAACAACATTGACAACTCGTTCTACAAGTGGATATTTAATAATACATGTATGAACTGCTTTGTTACTAAGAATATTGATTAAATGCTATAAATGTGGCAAACGTATTTTTCTAGTTTCTTCAGTCTTTATTTCACCTGTTTGTTTTTTTCTATAAATTAAAAATTAAAAAATAATTGCAGATTTCATAATCGATTAATTATATTAATTTCCATCGAATGCAATAAAAAATTAATCTTTTCCAATGAAAGCAATTATATTTTTCATACAATAATTAAAACATTGATGAAGTTTACAACATTTATAATCAACAGTGTATAAGAAGATATAATTTTCTATTCAAATTTTTGTCTTAAAAAAATGTACAACAATGTTTCTTGATTAACAAGTTAAAATAATGACAATTTGTAAACGTAAAATATTATTTTCAGAGTAAAAAATCTTTTTTCTTTCATCAACGATTGAAAGAAAAAAAATATTTTTTGTTTGTTGTGAATTTAATTTTATTTTAGAAATATATATAAAAATGAAATATTATGTCAATTTTATTCATAAATTCATTCTTTTTTTTCCAGCCCATTGTCCACAAGGCTTACACGCAGATTAATTTGACGGGAAGTTTGTTTTAAGTCTAACCAACACATAATCTTTAAAAGAAGAAAAAAAAACATGCCAGCAAGATTTGAAAGTGTTAATGCGCCGATCGTTCGCGATTCAATCATTCCCAATGGCACAACATATTCCATTGATGATGATATTGTCATCACTGGATTTTCTGGTAATTATAAATATTCTCAAAAAATATTTTCTCGAAAATATTTTAATTTGTTTTCAATTTGTTTGGGTATTTTCAATAATTCAAATTAGAAAAGAAAAAAACAACGTTAAAGTCTACGAGGTTCGTTGAAAATATTTTTTTTTATAATAAATATGTATATAAATATTACTAAAAGATTGAGTAATAAAAAGTTTTTACTGAAACGTAAACAAAACTTTTTTTCAGTGACAATTGTTGAGTAATTAAATAATATTCGTGTACATAGAAAAACTTTTAGTTCATAATATGGACTTTAACTTTTTTATTTTTTACGAATTTTTTTTTTTTCTTTTTTTTTTTTAATTTATTTTCATTTTTCGAATTTTAGTTTCAAATTTATTTTCCCTTTTTTTGAATTTATTGACAATAAATAAATATAAATCAACTATGTAATTAATAATCGATTGAAATATAGAAATTGTATTGAAACTCGTAATATTGACTTTATTTTCGTGTTAAGGTCGACTGCCAGAGTCATCGAACATTGAGGAATTCAAACAGAAACTTTTCGATGGAATCGATTTAGTAACAGACGATGAGCGCCGTTGGCCCTCTGGTCTTCATGGCCTACCAACAAGAACCGGAAAACTTAAAGATCTTGCATCATTTGACGCTACCTTCTTTGGTGTTCACGCTAAGCAAGCACACGTTATGGATCCACAACTCAGAATGCTCCTTGAATTAACACACGAGGCTATCATAGACGCTGGAATTAATCCGTCCGAAATTAGAGGTTCAAAAACTGGAGTTTTCATTGGTGTTTCCGATTCGGAATCTGACGAATTCTGGACCGCAGACCCAGACATGGTCAATGGTTAGTTTCAATTGAATTTTTTTTTTTTTTCAAACGAAAAATTATCTATGAATTTTGGTCTCAAAGAATTCTTTCAAAGAGTTGCCATAAGATGAGGAAATTTGGGAACGTTTTTATTTAAATGAAAAATTAAAAAAGAATTTTTTTTCAAGTTAATTTATCATGTCACTAAAGATTCGAACGTATAATAATAATAATAATAATACAGGGTGGCCACAGATCAGGAAATGTTAGGGATTTTTATTAAAGTACATACTGAAAAAAATTGAATTTTGGAGAAGTTACAGATGATTGCAGAAATTCAATTATTTTCAAAAGTAATAAAATTCTTCGCAGAAATTCAATTATGTTAAAATTTTTTTTAAAATTCTCGTCAAAATTTCAATTATCTTTATTAATAATATAATTCTTCTCCGAAATTCAATTATTTTCAAAAATTTTCCTCAATTCAATTACTTTCAATATCTACTATTTTAATAAAAGAATTAAATTATTTAAAAAAAATTTCTCGTCAAAATTTCAATTATCTTTATTAATAATATAATTCTTCTCCGAAATTCAATTATTTTCAAAAATTTTCCTCAATTCAATTACTTTCAATATCTACTATTTTAATAAAAGAATTAAATTATTTTTAAAAAATTCTAATAAAATTCTACGCAAACATTTTATTATTTTCATAAAATAATAAAAATTTCACAGGAATTCAATTATTTGCAATTTTTTTTTATAAATTTCTTCACAATTATTCAGTTATTTTCATAAATAATAAAATTTTTACAAGATTCAATTATTCTCGTATATAGTAAAATTCTTTTTAGAAATTCAATTATTTTCATAAATAATAAAAATTTTACAGAGATTTAATTATTTTCATGAATAATCAAAATTTTATAATAAATTATTTATTTTTTAATTTAAATAATTGAATTGTAGTGGGATTTTCTTATAAAAACAAATTTAAAAGTGAATATCAGTTACAATTTTAGATAATAATTGAATGGGTTTGAAAATTCTCAAGAAACTTTTGCAAAAATTATTAAAGATAATTTATAATTGAATTTTTTCAAAGAATTTTTATAAAATTTGTGAAAATAATTATATTTTTCGAAGAATTTACTTCAAATTTTAATAAAAATGATTGAAATCCTGTGAGGAATTTTATTATTTAGGAGAATAATTGGATTCTTGCAACGAATTTTTATTTTATTTTTGTTAAATAATTAAAATCCTGTGAAGAATTTTATTATTTATGAAAATAATTGAATTCTTTAATTTAATGAACAAATTTGATTAAATTTTTTATAAATAATTGAAATTCCAAAAAGAATTTTATTATTTATGACAATAATTGAATTCTTGCAATGATTTTTTTTTAAATAATTGAATTCTTTTGAGAAATTTTATTAAAATACATAGTAGATTTTTGAAAATATTTGAATTTGAAGAATTTCATTCTTTGTGAAATATAATTGAATTCTTGCAAAAATTGTATGAAAAATAATTGAAATTCTATGGAAAATTTTATTAGTTATGAAGTATATTTTATTTTATTATTTATGAAAATAACTCAGTTCATACAACGAATTTAATACATTTTTTAAAATAATTCCATTCACGTAAAAAAAATTGTATTACTTGCAGAAATAATTGAATTCTTACGAAGGATTTTATTAAAATTTTTGTAAATAATTAAATTTTCTTTTGAAAAAATTTTATTAAAATTTGAATTATTATAAAACATGAAGATATCAATCACTTCAAGTCTTCGACTTGAAGTGATTGATTTCTTTATGTTTTATAATAATATTCTTATGAGTTGTTGAATTTCATAAAGGCTTGAATTTGAAATTTGTTTGAAAATCTTTATCCCTATGGAATAATATTAATCATTAAATATTTATTTAAAAAAAGAAGTTATTGATGTTTTCGAATAATTTTACAATTAAAGAATTTTGTAAATAGAATATTCTCTTGAGTATCTAATAATTTTTTAGAGTGAATCAGAATATTCTTTAGGCCCAGGGAAATAGTAAAACTTTTGTCTGAAAATCAGGGAAAACAAAATTAATTTTTTGTGGCAACCATGCAATAATAATTTTCTTAATTTCCCAATAAAAAATGATTTTTTGTATTCGAACTTTGTCCAGTAATATTTTTTTCTTAATCTACAAAATTAATTCTGTTCTATAAATTTTGAATTTTTTTATTTTTTATTCTAGTAATTTTTTAAAACATTAATTAGTGAATTAGAATATTCTTTAGGTTTAGAGAAAAAATGTAGAGAAATTTAGAAAAAAAAGTCAAAATTCTAAAAAAAAATTTTTTTATGGCAACTCTTATCAAGAAATTAAAATTTCGAAAAATCTAAAAATCATTTCTCCATTTTTCAGGTTATGGTCTGACAGGATGTTGTCGAGCAATGTTCCCCAACAGAATATCCTACACTTTCGACTTCACAGGACCAAGTTTTGCCGTTGACACGGCCTGTTCATCATCCCTCTACGCAATGCATCAAGCAGTAGCCGCAATGCGAACTGGTCAATGTGATTCGGCAATTGTTGGCGGTGTGAACCTCGTTCTAAAACCCACAAGTTCCCTCCAGTTTCACAGGCTAAATATGTTATCAATGGACGGCGCATGTAAAGCCTTCGACGCATCAGGAAATGGATACGTTAGATCCGAAGCTGCTGTCGTTATTTTCCTTCAAAAGGCCCGTAACTCTAAAAGAGTGTACGCGACAGTTGTTAACTCCAAGACAAATACAGACGGCAACAAAGTTGAGGGAATCACATTTCCAAGCGGAGCCATGCAAAATAAATTAATGCGCGAGGTCTACGCGGAAGTTGGTGTCGATCCAGTTGATGTGGTTTACGTCGAGGCTCATGGAACTGGAACAAAAGTTGGCGATCCACAGGAAGTTAATTCAATTGCAGACCTCTTCTGTAAAGACAGAAATAAACCTCTACTGATTGGATCGATTAAATCAAATATGGGACACTCGGAACCAGCGAGTGGATTGTGTTCCATTGCAAAGATGCTAATAGCAATGGAGGCCGGTGTTATTCCCGGAAATTTACACTTTAAAACACCAAATAAAGATATTCCCGCATTGTCCGATGGAAGATTACAGGTCGTTGATCGATCTATGCCTTGGAATGGAGGTCTAGTGGCTATTAATTCGTTCGGATTTGGCGGTGCGAACGCTCACGTTGTTTTAAGAAGTAATCCAAAACCAAAAATCGCCCCAGTTTTGGATGTGAACGTACCGAAAATTGTTCCCGTCTCGGGAAGAACGGAAGAGGCGATCAATTCATTCTTGGATCGAATCAAGGAACACGAGAAGGACGATGAATTCACTTCGATGGTGCAGGATTTACACGCTAATAACGTCACTGGTCATGGGTATCGTGGATTCCAAATTCTCGGCGATGTTAATGTACGGGAAGTCGATCAGGTTGGTTCGGAGAAGAGACCGATTTGGTACGTTTTCTCGGGCATGGGATCACAATGGTCGGGAATGGGACGAGCGCTCTTTTGTATTGACACCTTCCAAGCGGCAATTAGACGATGTGCGGAAGCTTTAAAACCAGAGGGTATCGATCTGATAAATCTCATTCTCAATGGAACGGAGGAAACTTTCCAGAATGTTGTCAATAGTTTTGTGTCGATTGCGGCCATTCAAGTTGGATTAGTCGACGTTTTGAGTTTGATGGGCATTCAACCTGATGGAATTATCGGTCATTCGATTGGAGAACTTGGTTGCGGTTATGCGGACGGATCGATGACACCGGCACAGACTGTCCTCGCTGCCTACTGGAGAGGAAAAACAATTTTAGACGCTAATCTACCACTCGGCGCCATGGCTGCCGTTGGTCTCAGTTGGGAGGAAGCACAAAAGAGATGCCCACCGGAAATTGTTTTAGCTTGTCACAACGCCGCCGATTCGGTGACAATTTCCGGTCCTCCGGAACCAATAGCTAAATTCGTGGAAGATTTGAAGAGTCAGGAGATTTTCGCGAAACAAGTCCACAGTTCGGGCTGCGCTTTCCACAGTAAATATATCGCTTCAGTTGGACCTAGACTAAGAACAATGCTGGAGAAAATAATTCCCAATCCAAAGCAGAGAACTTCGAGATGGATCTCGAGTTCGATTCCAGAAACTGCTTGGAATACGTCATTGGCACAACTCAGCTCACCGGCCTATTATGTCAACAATCTCCTCTCTCCGGTTCTTTTCCAAGAAGCGCTCGCTCACGTACCGGAAAATGCGATCGTCATCGAAATTGCTCCCCATTGTTTATTGCAAGCAATCCTTCGTCGATCGTTACCATCAACAGTGACGAACATCGGTCTCCACAAACGTGATCACAGCGATAATCTCGCATTCCTCTTGACCAATATCGGCAAACTCTATGTCGCCGGAGCTCAACCTGTTCTCTCCAAACTCTATCCACCAGTCACCTATCCCGTTGGACGAGGAACTCCAATGCTCAATTCAATGATTCAATGGGATCACTCCGTACAGTGGAGTGTCGCCGACTTCTCCGGCAAATCCGGCCACTCTGGACAGAGCGTCGTGGAATTCGATCTCTCCAAGGAATCTGATTCTTACATTGCTGGTCATTGTATCGACGGAAGAATTCTTTTCCCCGCTACCGGCTATTTGACAATTGTTTGGAAGACCTTTGCAAAACTACGCGGTTCGTCATACGAGAAAACACCAGTCGTCTTCGAGGATGTACAATTCCTACGAGCGACCATTATGCCAAAGGAAGGTTCCGTGAAATTCATCATCAACATCTTCGAAGGTACAGGAGCTTTCGAAATCTCCGAAAGTGGAGCCACTGCAGTGAGTGGAAAGATTCGCTTCTCCGAAGATATCGAAAAGGAACAACTCAACCTACCAATTCCAGCTGCAAGCAACGAATCAGATTTACTCGAACTGAAGACAAACGACGTCTATAAAGATCTCCGACTCCGCGGCTATGATTACGGTGGAATTTTCCAAGGTATCAAATCATCCGATAATCGAGCCATCACCGGTAACCTCGCTTGGAATAACGATTGGATTTCCTACATGGACACAATGCTTCAATTCGCAATTTTGGGCAAAAACACCAGAGATCTCTTCCTACCGACACGTCTACAGTACGCAGCAATTAATCCCGAGCGTCATATGCAACTCGTGGAGAAACTTCAAGAGAATGAGAATATCCCCGTTCATCACTATAGCAACGTTGGTATTGTCAAGTCAGGCGGAGTCGAATTACGTGGAATGAAGTCTTCCATCGCCCCCAGAAGACAACAGACCCAAGCCGATCCAAAATTGGAGAAATATTCCTTCATTCCCTACGAGAATACACAGGCACTCGTCGAAGATCCAGAGAAATCGAAATTACACGCCCTCACCTCTCTGCTTCAGGTGGTGAGAGAAAATGCCGGTGGCATTAAAATAAAGGCCATCGAGACAACAATGGAACGCAATCCAGAGGCTCTTCTAACACCAATTGTTCTCGATATTCTCCTCAGCGAACCCATGCTCTCTGTTGATCTAAAACTAGCAACAACCATACCAGACAATTACACCCCCGTTATGGAACAATGTAACATCAAGAGTACCGTTGTCGACGTTCACACTTCACCTGTCGGACAAGATATGCACCTGATAGTCACCGCTGACGTCATGAACAATCAAATGTTGGCGGCTGTGAAAAATTTCGAAAACTCCCTCAAACCCGGTGGTTTTATTCTCTCCGAAGAGGCGACAGAAATTGACGAAAGTATTTTGAAAGGATCTAGTCTCATTGTCGTTGGAAAGCAAGTGGTTCCTGGCAAATGTTACATTCTCCTAAAGAAGAAAGAGGAAATGGATGCGCCGGTGGTTATTAAAGTGACCGAGAAGAATTTCGCCTGGGTGGAAGATTTGAAAGTTGCGATGAAGAAGGCGGAGACTGAGGGACAGAAGGTTTTGGTTGTGAGTCAAGGTGAAGAGGTTTTGGGACTTGTGGGACTGATGACTTGTTTACGACAAGAGGCGGGTGGAATGAACGTTCGATACTTCTTTATCCAGGATGTGAACGCTGCTGCATTTTCCCTTGGCAAAGCTTTCTATGCGAAGCAATTCGATAAACAACTAATGGCAAATGTGCTAAAGGGAGGACAATGGGGATCGTATCGTCATTTGCGATTGGACAAGCAGAGTGACAGTCCTTCGCTTCAGGTTGAACACGCGTACATCAATGCTCTCGTTCGTGGTGATCTGAGCAGTTTGCGATGGATCGAGGGACCTCTCTGCTACTACGAACCGGAGAAGTTTGTTGGACAGGAGTTTTGCGATGTCTATTACGCTCCGCTTAATTTCCGAGATATTATGTTGGCGACCGGAAAATTGCCACCTGATGCACTGCCCGGTGATTTGGCGAGTCAGGATTGTATTCTTGGTCTTGAGTTTGCGGGAAGGGACTCGTCGGGTCGTCGTGTGATGGGAATGGTAGCGGCACGAGGATTGGCAACGACAGTTTTGGCAGATCCTGGATTTATGTGGGAGGTGCCGGATAAGTGGACCCTAGAGGAAGCGGGGACAATTCCAGTGGTTTACGCAACAAGTTATTACGCTCTGGTGGTGAGAGGAAGACTACGATCTGGTGAATCTGTGTTGATTCATGCTGGTAGCGGTGGTGTTGGTCAGGCTAGTATTGCGATTGCTCTTCACGCCGGTTGCACTGTTTTCACGACAGTCAGTTCGAAGGAGAAGCGAGATTTCCTCAAGAAAACTTTCCCTCAATTGACTGACAAGCATATTGGAAACTCCCGTGACACGAGTTTCGAGCAACTGGTCCTCACGGAAACCGGAGGCAGAGGAGTTGACATTGTGTTGAATTCACTCTCGGAGGAGAAACTTCAAGCTAGTGTTCGATGCTTGGCGAAAGACGGACGCTTCTTGGAGATTGGAAAGTTTGACCTCTCGAATAATACAGCTTTGGGAATGTCGTTCTTCTTGAAAAATACATCTTTCCATGGAATTTTGTTGGACGCACTGTTTGACACGAACGGACCAGAAAAGAAGGAGGTCGTGAGACTTGTCTATGAGGGAATCAAAAATGGAGCTGTTCGTCCTCTGCCAGCTACGGTCTTCACTGAGCAGCAAATAGAGCAAGGTTTCAGATTCATGGCAGCCGGAAAGCATATTGGTAAAGTTCTGCTCAAGATTCGGGATGAGGAGGCTCAGAAGGTGACACGACCAGCAATGAAGACGGTTGCGGCAATTCCAAGAACGTACATGAATCCTGATAAATCGTACGTCTTGGTAGGAGGTCTCGGAGGTTTTGGTCTGGAGCTCGCCAACTGGATGATCACGAGAGGAGCGAAGAATATCGTTCTCACGTCACGATCTGGAATTCGAACCGGTTATCAAGCACTCTGCATTCGAAGGTGGAGGGAAATGGGAATCACGATTCAAATCTCGACTGGCGATGTCACAACGGAAGCTGGAGCAGACTCTCTTCTGAAAGAGGCAAATAAACTCGCGCCCGTTGGAGGAATATTCAATCTCGCCGCTGTATTGCGTGACGCTCTGATGGAGAACCTTGACGAAGATCACTTCAAGGTAGTCGCTTTGCCAAAAGTGAGCGGTACGAGAAATTTGGACGCTTCTTCAAAGAAATTCTGTCCTGAACTCGATTTCTTTGTCTGCTTCTCGTCGGTGTCTTGCGGAAGAGGAAACGTTGGGCAAACAAACTACGGACTCGCCAACTCCGCGATGGAGAGAATAATGGAGCAGAGACAAGCTGTCGGTTTACCGGGTCTCGCCATTCAATGGGGAGCCATTGGCGACGTGGGACTCATTTTGGAAACAATGGGCAACAACGAGACTGAAGTCGGCGGAACTCTTCCTCAACGAATGGCAAGCTGTCTAATGACAATGGACTCATTCCTTCAACAACCACATCCCGTTCTTGCGTCAATGGTTCTTGCCGAAAGGCAAAAAGCTGGCGATTCATCGGGTCAGGTGAATCTCCTCGATGCCGTGGGTAATATTCTTGGTATCAAGGACGTTAAAACAGTCAACATGAACAACAGTCTCGCTGATCTTGGAATGGATTCACTCATGGGAACTGAGATCAAACAAACTCTGGAGAGAAACTATGATTTGGTTCTGTCCGCTCAAGAAATTCGAGCACTTACCTTTGGCAAGTTACTTGAATTATCTTCTGGATCAGCAGAAGCTAACGAAGTAGCTTCTCAAAGTCCTGCTAATTCTTCATTGACCGAAACCGATCCAGATGAGTTCCTCTTCCAGTGTTCCGGTACGGAAATTGTACCGCCAAAATCTCTAATTCAACTTCAATCAATGTCCGACAAGGGCGAGCCAATTTTCGTTATTCACGCCATTGAAGGTCTTGTTCTTTCGATGAAGAGTTTGGCCAGTGAACTTGAACGACCTGTCTGGGGACTGCAGTGTACCAAAGATGCTCCACTCGAGTCAATACCTAATCTGGCGACATACTACATACAGGAAATGAAGACAGTGAAAAAACGGGGACCATACAGTATAATAGGATATTCATTCGGTGCCTGTGTTGCTTTTGAAATGGCTCTACAGTTGGAGAAGGCGGGTGAATCGGCGGAATTAACACTTCTTGATGGATCACCTGACTTTATCAAATTGCACAGTCAAACTATTGGGAAACAAACCAACCAAGTTAGTTCTGACCTCGCCTCAAATGACGGCTTCCAAAAAGCAATTGCTTTCTTTGCAAGGCAACTTAATGCCGACATTAGTTTTCTAAAGGTGAGATTTTTTTTCTATTTCTTGACTCTATTTCTCAATATTCTTGACTCGTATTTTTTTATTTTTCAATCATAACTAAATTATTTGTCTCGAAGGAGATATTTGGAAATTTACTATTTTTAACTGTATTTTTATTTATACAAAAAATAAAAAAGTAAAAAAAAATAAATAAAGTATAAGATAAAAAAATAGCATAATTGAACAAAATTTTTTTTCAGGCATATGAAATTCTAAGGGGAAGTAAAACTGAGGATGAAACTTTGAATAAAATGTTAGAGTTAATAGGAAATACGCCCTTCAAGTCAGAAGATTTAAAAATCGCTGGAATTTTGTTCTATAAGAAGCTGCGGGCAGCGAATATGTATAAAGCATCTAATAAATATGACGGACCTATTACTCTGATCAAGGCCAAAGACAACTTTGTTTCCTTAAATAATGACTACGGATTATCTGAGGTAAATTTCGTCTTTTTCATATAATTACAAATTTCACTAAAATTTTGAACGTTTAAATGAATAACATTTTTTTCTACAAAAATGTTTTTGAAAATTACTATATTGAATTGAAAAACAGTGGAAATGCAACATTTATTTAAAGCAAAATTAATTTTTTAATATAGAAAATTATATTTTTGAACAAAAGAAAAATTTAAGAAAGTAATAAAAAACATCGTCATTCAGTTGAACGTTTAAAACTTTAGAAACATTACAATTAATACTATTATTTAAGATAATTTTCTAAACATAGAGTTCTTAAATTTTTTTGAAAATGATTTATATTTTATTTGAATTAAGAAAAAAAATTTAAATACGTATTTTACATTTTAATTTTAGAGCTAAAATTTGGATACTTTTTTTAAATTTCTGACACTAACAGCTACTTTTTTTTTATAGAATTTGTCCTATTTTAAATTTGCAAATAGTTGAAATTAAAAAATTATTCTCAAAAATTTTTTTTCTACTATTTTAATAAAATTTCCTAAAATAATTCAATTATTTTCATAAGTAATAAAATTTTCTCAAGAATTCAATATTAATTTAAATACAATTTTATAAAATTTTTCTACAAAACCAATTATTTAACAAATTTTTGTATAAAATTCTTTATAAGAATTCAATTATTTTTGTAAATAATAAAATTTTTCTCAAGAATTGCAATTATTGTTAAAAACTTAATAAAAATCGTAATAATTTAATTATTTTCATTTACTCAAATCTTAAAAATAAATAATAATTTATGAATAAATAATTAAATTGTGATGTTTTTTTTTTTTTTTGTCAAAACAGATGTGCAGACAAACCGTGAGGATTGAAGAGTTACCAGGAAATCACAGGAGTATCCTTTCAGGAGAGAGCGTAAAAAAGATGGCAACACTTGTGAAAACATAAAGAAAACTTCTTCTAGGATTCAAATAATTATCTTAGAATAAGTCATCATCACAAAATGATAGAATGCAAATTTTTTTTCACGTTAATACTCTCCTGAAACGCTTGAAATTATAAATGAGTATTTTATTTAAATTTGCTCTTTAAAATCAATGCAAATTTTTTTAGTAATATTCGCGGATGAATTCAAGCGTGCCCGAAGCATCTTTTGTACAAAATCTCTTCCCAGGAATCTATCATCATTCCAATTCTGACATTTTTGAGGCTTTAATATAATTATATATAGAAACTTTTTTTTCCCCTTCGTCGCAGTTTTTATTTCCACATTGTGAAAGAATGAATGTCGCGGAAAGTATAATTGTTTTGTCATTTGTGAATAATGAGTAGATTATTACAGATTTAATTATAAAGAAATATATTATATTATATATATATACTGTTAAGTAATTCCAATAACAACGCGCAATTGTATAACGAAGATAGTGAATGAATCGAATTCTTTTAAAACAAAAACAAAAACAAAAAAATTTATTGATCGCTTCTATATGATTTTTGAATGATTTATCAGTGGACAGATAATCATTTTCAAGTTATATGGAAACATTGTACCCTGAGGACTTTTAAAAGTCATTAAATACGAATTTTTATTTTAATCTAGCTCTAAAAAAAACAAATATGTGACGTTTTAATAACACGTGTCGTGATTTACCACTTATGTAAATTAGCAAACAGTAAGAACCGATACGAATTATTTAAATACATTTCTTAAATAGTAGAAAAAAAGTAAGATAAAAAAAAAGAGAGAATGTGAAGTGAACATAGAGGCTGTTAATGTACATGATAAATTACGTTAGAATATATTTTTTTAAGGTTCTTATTTTTGTTTATTAAATGAGTATAGACATTTAAAGTGTATATGATGACAAAAATAAACGTGAATCACGTTCATATCTATTCAAATTTTGAAAATATCTCGTGATTTATGTTAAATTGCATTATGATATTTATTACTTTCCGGGTATGCATGATACTCTTGTATTAAATAATTTGAACAATAAAAGGAATAGAAACATGTATGTTTTTTCCGCTTATTGATATTTGAACAAATTCTGTTTTTTTATTACACTTTTCTCCAGGCCCAGGGCTCGAACCAGTGAAAGTATTTAAAAATAAGGACTTTACGGACAAAAAATGAAAAATTACTGACAAAAAATATAACCAGTCCGAGTCAAATAAGACTTTTGAGAATAATTAAAATTCCTAAAAAAAATTTTATTACATTTACCAAAATAATTGAATCACCTGTAAAAATTTGATTATTTATGAAAATAGTGTAAAAAATAGTACTCAAATTTTTCCAAAATTATTTTTAAATAACTTTTGAAAGATAATTGAATTTTTAAAATACAATAATTAAAACGTTTTTAAATAATTTGAAATTTCGTAAACTTTTATTGAAAGTAATTTAATTTTTTTTTAAGTATTACATTAAAATTTTTTAAAATCAAATTTTGAAGGGTTTCAATTGCCGATTTTGGAAAATAATTGAATTCACAAAAATTTTAATGGTAAATCTTTAAATAATAATTTTAAAATGGAAATTAATGGTTTATTTAGCTTCAAAAAAATTATTATTAAAATATTTTCTAAAAAATAAATTCGCTTAGAATTTTTTCATTATAATTTCTTAATTAAAATTCTATTATTTTCCATAATCTCAATTTCAATATATTTTAATGAAATTTCTCGAAAGAATTTAATTACTTTTGAAAATTATTTTTCATAAAATTCAACTATAAGTATAAATTAATTTAATGTAATTTTAATTAAATTCCTCAAAAAAATTTAAATTTTGAAATTTTAATAAAATAAAATATTTAAAATAGGTATTTTAGATAAAATTTCAATTATTGTCAAGAGAGTTAACTAAAATTCATTAACTAGGTACTACAATTATTAAAAAAAGTTTTATTTTTTGTATTTATTCAGCAATTTCTTCAGGAATTCAAATTCTCGAAGAAATTGCTATAAATTATTAAAAATAATTGATTTAGGCAAGAAATTTAGTAAGAAATTGAAGAAAACAATTTAATTTTCTAAGACTTAAATGAAAAATCTGTAGAAATAATTAAAATATTCAAATGTTTCAAGTTAAAAGTATTGAAAATTTTAATTGCTGTAGAAGTTTAATAGTAATAAATTATTTAAAAAGTTTTAGTTTAAAATTCTACCCATAAAAAATAATTCAGTTAATTTAAAAAAATTTAATTTCTGTGGAAAAATAAGTAAAAATAAATATTTATATATTTTCTAAACAAAATTATTGAAGCTTTAAGTAATTTAATTAGGTTTCTTCTTAATTAAAATTTATTAATGATAATTGAAAAATTTAAAGACACTCAGAAGAATTATTGTTCGAAGTTTTAGAAATAATTTAATTTTTGTATTTAAATAATTGATTTCTCGAAGAAATTGTTAAAAAAATTTAATTATTTATAGAAGAAGAAAAAGTAGAAAATAATTAAAATTTGTAGGGGTTAAAGTTATTAGTTTTAGAAATGTAAAATAAAATTTTTGTGACTACACTAAATAAAATAAACGACTTTTTTTTTTTATCTTTTATAGACTAAAAAGATTTTTTTGCATCATAAAGTCAATCCGAGGCCTGCCATTAGAATAAATTGTGTTTTAAAATATAAAAAGAAAAATTTAGGATTTAATTATATTCCACATTGATGAGATTTTAAAATTATTTCTAACAGTTTAAGACTTGAAGGCATTAAATAGAATTTATATAGAATTAAAATCTTATTTAATACTGGAATGACTTGTGTTGCTATTACAATACTTTTTACAGGTACAGATTCAATCAGTCACATAAAATCTTAATACAATAAAAATTCTCACACAATAGTCGTTCTACACTGAAAGAATTATCTTACTAATTTATATTTATTCTTATCTTTAGAAAAATGCTTTGAAACAAATTCAGAATGTTTAAAATACTTTATAAGAAACTTTCAAATATTTCCCTAAAGTCTCCTTCTTAAAAGTTTCTTCCTTAAAATTCTAGTATTTTTTAATTTTCCTAAATTCCTAAGAATTTTCGATGGATCGAAAATAAATTTAATTCGATCGAAGCAATTTTTGTTTTGGTTAATTATTATTAATGTATCAAAAAAACACACTACGAGCAAAACGGAAAATATTGTTGGGTAGCATTTTACTTTCGATCCATCTATTGACAATTTAATTATTGGTATTGGTAATATAATAATTACCTTATTATTAGTAATGGTAAAAATTACCAATGGTAGTAATAATTACAAAAAAATCGTTTTCTACTTTCTTTCAGTGTAAGAAATAGTAAGCAAGCACTCAACACGAATGGACGCAAATTGAACTAGAGATAAATTATGTTTGCTTTGGATCTATAGGTAGTCTTGGATCTGAAATTGCGAATTTTTTATCACACGTAAAGGAAACCGTTAAAGCGTAACGAGTTCCGGAAGTTACTTTCTCCACCATGTGAACATTTTCAGCACCGGACGTGAACATTGATACTCGCCCTAGAAAATGAAATTTTTATTATTAATTGAAATTAGAATGCAACGTTCAAATGAACGAAATTTATTTTTTCTTCTTCAAATTCAACATTTAGGAAAAATAAAAATAAAAACAAAAATTTCCTTTACATGAAAGTTCAGAATTTGTGGAATCTAAATTAGAATATTTTGGTTTTGTTTTGTAATTATTTACCTTTCCTAGGTTCAATTGTTGCATTGGCGCTGTGTTTATTGACGAACAAAAATCGCCCTCCTTTGAAGTCTTTGTTAAAGTCGTTTAAGTACAAAAGCGATGTGTAGTGAAACGATTCGTAAGTGACTTTATCCACATGCGGATGCCAATATTCATCGTGAATCGTTTTCGCCGGAAGATTTGTAATTCGTGAAAAGAATGTCGGCTTTGTCAAATATATTTTATCCGAATCAACTCCAAAATGATGTGCTATTGCGTGTTGTATTTTGGTTTTTACCACCCTAATGGAAATAAAAGGTAAATTAAAACAGAACAAAAAGAAAATTGTTCTTGATCCTCAAGATCTGAACGTTGAAAGTAACGGAATTTATTTTTTCCTTATTCAAATTATGTAAATATATCAAGAAAAAAATTGTTCTTTAACAATAACAGTTGTAAAAGATTAATAACTTACTTGTAAATAGCAAAATCTGCATTGTTGAAAATCTCCTTCGCCTCTTTCATGTCATAAAGATTCATAAATCCAGGGCCTTTACTCAAAGCACCGGAATGGAGATCAAGAATACTGGCTCCTCCATCAGATCCTCCTAAATTCATTCCATTGATTGCTAATTTTAATAAAACATCAGTTTCCGTGGCTGAGACTAATTTATCCGTGACTATTCGTGCACACTTTTCCGGCATGCAGCCGGGAAATTTGTCCATTTCTCCCTTATAACTGTCCGAGCAATCAACATTTTGTTGACGACTTATTAATATGTCTTTTTGCAAAGCCAATGAGATTTCTTTTCCATCTTTTGAATTGTACCACACAATGAAAAGAATGGCAAGAATTACGATACTTCTGGACCATACTTTTTGATATGGAAACATCAGACTTGATCCATATTTTCTAAAATAATACAAATAGATAACACAAAAATAAATAATAATAATAATTCGTATGACGAATTTTAAATAGGTAAATTTTATTTAATTAACTATCAATTCAATAATTTTTATAAATATAGTAAATTTTTTTTACAAAAATTCATTTATTTTTTTACAATATTTTAATAAAATTTCACGAAAGAATTCAATTATTTTCTAACATTTTAATAAAATTTCACGAAAGAATTTAATTATTTTTGAAAATTTTAATAAAATTTCACAAAAGAATTCAATTATTTTTATAAATAGTAAAATTCATCTGAGAAATTAAATTATTTTCAATACAATTTTAATTGAATTCCTCGGTAGAATTCAAATATTTTCAAAAATTTCCATAAAATTCAATTTCATCAAGAATTTAAAATTCTCTAAAAATAATTCAATTACAATTCTCAAAATATTAAAAGAAAATTCTATAGGAAAATTCAATTACTTTAAATGCAATTTTTAAATATAATCGTCTAAAAAATTGAAAGAATTCAATTATTTTCAAAAAATAATAAAATTCTTTAGAGAAATTCAAATATTTTCGAAACAAGTTTAATTCAATTTCTCGAAAGAATTTAATTATTTTCAAATAGGTATTTCTTTAAAATTCTTTAAAACAATTCAATTTTTTCTAAAATTTTAATAAATTCTTCGATCATTTCAATTATTTTTATAAATAGTAAAATCCTTTGCAGGAATTCATTTATTTTCAAAACAATTTTAATTGAATTCCTCGGCAGAATTCAAATATTTTCAAATATTTCCAATAAAATTTAATTGTTTCCTGAAATTTTAATAAATTCTTCGGAATAATTAAATTATATTTATAAATAGTCAAATTTTTCGCAAGAATTAAATTATTTCTACAAGTAATAAAATTCTTCTCAGGAATTCAAATATTTTCAATAAAATTGTAATAAAATTCTTCTTCATAAAATTCAATTGCTTTCAAAATTTTTATTTAAAATTATTAAAGAAACTCCATTATTTTAAAAAAAATTCAAAGAAATTCTTCAAAAGAATTTAATTTAGGATTTTTAAAAATTTTAATAAAATTGATAGCGAGAATTGAATTATTTTCATAAATAAAAATATTCTTCACAGGAATTCAATTATTCTCTTGAAATTTTTTGATAAGATTCTTTGCATAAGAATTCAATGATTCCCAATACATTAATATTAAAATTGAAAATATTTAAGAAGAAAATTTTTTAAAAAATTTAGGAAACAAAAAAGCAATCAACAACTAACTTCAAACTGCAAACATATTACCTTACCGGAATAGGAACACAACTATTATTAATATAGATTATGAGTCGCTATCAATATTTCCGAGTCCGAGGTAAAGTACATGACTCGAAAAGATAGACTCAAAATTATATTGTTTCACCGAGTGATAAATTCATAAAAAATGCCAATAAATATAATGAACAAAAATATTTAATTTATTTATTTAAGGATTTCATATTAATCCATACAAAGAAGTTTGATGTGATACATGCTAGAAATAGAGCAAAAAAAGTAATAAATATACAAGGAAGTTACAACCAATTAAAATTAACAAAAACGTAAAAATAAGAATAAGAAATCAATGTTCGATTCTCAGTCAAACAAAACATGTTCTAAAAGTTCGAAATTTCGAATAAAGAAAATATTCAGTCTCCAAGGAATGTTTTTTCCATTCCTAACCTCAAATTTTCAGACACTAAAGAAATTATATTTTGTTGTTCTATTCAGGAGATTCAGGATAAAAAATTGAAACAATAGAAGAATTATAAAGTAAACTAAATTTTACAGTAGAAATAAAAGAATTATTCATAACAATAGATTGTAAATAAAACAACTCACGGTTTGACATATTCAGTCTCGGGCTTTGTCGACTTTTCCTCAGTTTTTATTTTCTCCTTTTCCTTTTTCTCTACAGCTTTCTCCTTTTGTGCATCTTTTCGCTTTCCTTTCTTATGTTCATGTGTCATTTTTCAGTCAAAAGTGACTAAAATTCATGAATAGAAAATACTGTAAAGTGTAAAATTTTGTTTGACCCAAATATTATTATACGTTTGACGTTTCTCTACACCGCACACGTCGTCTGCTAGAATGACACGTATAAAAAATTGTATGGTTAGAAATTACATTTCTTCAAATTTCGTCAATTTTCTGAAAAATTTAGTTACACTTCGTGTCTTAATATTCAAATGATAAATAAATTCAAATAATAAAATTTCTCCACTTGTTGAAATGTAACTCTAATCATCAAAATTTTTTATGAAGACTCATTAAAAATTCAAATTACTGCGCGCGCTCAATTTTTCCCCTCTGCGCATGTGCGGTAAATCATTTTTTAAATTTAAAAATTTTTTTAACGCCAGTGGCCAACGAAAATTTTTTATTTTAAAAACTTTACAGTTGAAGGTAAAATTAATTTTAAAATTAATAGCAAAATAAATAAAATAATATAAAATAGTAAAATGTAGAACTGAATAACTTGAATATAAAATAAAAAAATATAAAACAAAAATAAAATGTAAAATGAAATGTAAAATGTAATGTAAAATGAAACAGAAAATAAAATATAGAAAAAAATGTAAAATAAAAACTAAATTAAAACTAAAAATATAGAATACTAAAGTAAACTAAAAAAATACTAAACATTTTGAAGTATATAAATAGTGATGTAAATTTATAAATTAATAATTATTAATAATTAATAATCAATAAATTCAGTAATAAATCGGATTTATTCAGAATTATCGATTTTTCCACAAAAAATGTGTTTTTCATTCATTTTGAAAATAAAAAAAAAACTATTTTTTACCTTGGTGAACAAATTATTTTAAAAAATCTCTTGTAATTGTGAAAAATAAATAAAATTTTGATTATATGTAAAAAATAATGATAAAAATTTCGATTCTACGTAAAAAATACTCTACATACTGAATTAATAAATAACGATTATAAAAAAAATGAAAAATAGTTTTTTTTTTAATTTAATGCACATAAGTGATGAATAAAATTTTTTTCAATATTGAGTGAAAATGAATGTTATTTGATCCCCTGGTTTTAATTTCGACAGTTTGTCGATGTGTTGTCATGGATACTTAAAAGTATGGCTGCCAGCATTTTAGTTCACAAGTGACAGCTGCACAAGAAGGTAGAAAACATAACGGAAATCATATTTTCTACTGGTATGTAAAATATCTTGTTTTGATAACAGTTTTCTTTTTCCATTCTTCATAAATTATTTTTTTGCGCATCGAAAAGTGAAATTTCCCTCTAAAAAAATTGATTTCTAAAAAAAAATTATATTTTTATTTCTAAAATAAACTTTGCGGTTATAAAAATATAAACAATTTTCTTCATAATATAAATAACTTCGGCATTGAATTTGTTTAATGTCTATTTGGTTTTTTGATTTTAATAAGTTTTGAGTGCTTCAGTGAATTAATTACATTATTGAAGAAAGTTCAATAAATAAAATCGGCGTGTAAAAGAAAAATGCAAAAGAAGAAATAAAAACTAAAACAAATATTTACTTGAGTAAATTGCGTGAGTATAATATTTCATACATTTGGATAAAATTACCGCAGTTGATTTTAATTATTATTGTTAATAATTAATATTATTATTTGTCTTTTTTCGAAGAAAATAAATTTTCACACTGATTATTGTTTCAATTAAATTTGTTTTTCTTCTTTATTTCGTTTATTTAAAAATTAACTTTACAAATAATTTTTCTATTTACATTTTTTATTTATTTAATTTATTTAATTTACTTTTTTTTATTTATATTTTAATTTATTTAATTTTTAAAATACTTCGAATTTTTTCTGTATAAAGATTACAGTTATTTTTACAATTATTTACAATTTTTTCTATATTTTATTCTTAGAATATTAAAAATTTTTTCAATATTTACAATTTTTTTCAATATTTTACACTTACAATATCTATTGACAATTTTTTCAATATTCTATTCTTGAAATATTTGCAAAAAAAATTATTTTTCATTTTTTATATTTCAAGAAAATAATGCACAAAAAAAGGAAAAATAATTTTTTTAATTTAAATGTAATTTATATTGATACAATACTATATTATGTTAATTATTTATTTATTTAGTTTAAACGATCAATTAAATTATATTGTCTCTAGTTAAAATTGAATAAATATTTCCAAACAAGGAAAATTCAAGGCAGATAGGTAAATTCCAATAAATGCATTTTTGATAAGAAATATATTAATTATTTAAAGAACTTATTAATTATAGATAGAATTAATTATAATAATTACAATTATTTGAATAATAATTATTCGGAGAAAAAAATATAAATGAATTTTTTTTTTTACATAATTTTACGATCTAATTAATTAACGCTATAATTGATATTTACTAATTTAATTGATTTTAAAGTTATTACGTTAATTTTAAAGTCAAATAATTTTTAATTATTAAAGTACATACGCAAACCGCAAAGTTTTTTTTACCGAGTACAAAAAAAAATTAACTACACTACTCTTGATTATTGTTAATATTTATTTAATGAATAATAATCAGTTTAATGGATTTTTAATTTAATTTATAATGAATAGTTTACCTCAAGTCTTGCAATATGTACAAAAAAAATACGAAAAAAAAATAAAAAAAAAACTAAGAAATGATAATAATAACAAGAAATGACTCACTTTTTGTTTTCAAGTTTTTTCTTTAAAAAAAAAAAAAAATGAGAAATGTCAGGTCGTGGCATTTCTGTATTTCTATTTATTTCCTTGCCAAGTAATCTCTGTTAAAAATTTTTATTTTCTTTTAGAAATTTAAAAATTTGAGGAAAATTTCAATTTTTGATGAATTTGGGTTTAATATGCACATATTATTGTTGTGTTATTGTTTTATATGCAGCCACATATGAATTTACATGATTTTATATAAATTTCGAACAAGGAGCGCAAGGACTCATTCCTTTAATAAATTCCATGACTTGAGAAAATCTATATTCTCGCATGTCTCGCCCGAATAAGATTAGAGACATGCAAACGTAAGAAAATGCTAATTTTTGAGAGTCCCCTTAGCTCAATATACGCGCAGTGTCCCACTTTTTGACTAATTTCATCATAAACGTATATAAAGAATAATCATTTTTTCTGATTATCTCGACGAATTTATCTTTCATTGTGTTGTTCATAAAAAATTAATTAAAAGTTGACTGAACTGAACAATAGAGAAAAGAAAAGGGAAATAGAAAAAAAAGGTGACAAAATTTTTTTTTTCAACTTTTATTTAGGGGAAACTTTCTTCAAGAAAAGTTAATAATAATAATAATAATGATGATAGTGATAAATATAAATATGAATATAAATTAATATTATAAATGTACAAGCAAAAGTGCGTTAAAATTCTTTTGCAGGAATTTAATTATTGTCATTATAATTTTTAATACAATTTCTCGAAATAATTTAATTATTTACGAAAATTTTAAGAAAACTCTTCGAAATAATTATTATTATTACATTATTTCGAAATAATTCAATCATTTTAATTAAATTTAAATCCACGAAAGAATGAAATAATTTTCAAATTTTTTTTTAAATTCTTCGAAACAATTCAATTATTTTCATCAATGATAAAATTCTTTTTAGAAGAATTCAATTATATTTTGTAAATAAATGTCATAAAATTTTTATGCAGGAATTCAATTATATTCAATTTTTTAATTTCATTAAAGAATTCAATTTTCAAAAATTTGTGTAGAATTTTTTAGAAGAATTCAATTATTTTTATGAATATTAAAATTCTTCCAAGGAATTCAATTATTTTCAATATCAGAATTTTAATGAAATTTCACCAAAAGCAATTAAATTAATTTCAAAAATTTTAATAAAATTTTTGTCAAAAATTCATCTATTTCAAATTTTTTTTTGTAAATTATTTGAAACAATTCAGTTATTTTCATCAATATGTAATAAAATTATTTAGATTAATTCAATTATTTTGAATATAATTTTCAAACAATTTTCTTGAAGAAATTCAATTATTATTCAATTACACGAAAGAATTCAATTATTTACAAAAATTTTTTAAATTATTTAAACCAATACAATTATTTTCATAAATAAAATAAAATTTTTCAGAGGAATTCGATTATTTTCAAAAATTAAAAATTTGTGTAGAATTTTTTAGAAGAATAATTCAATTATTTTTATGAAAATGAAAATTTTTCGAAGGATTTCCATTATTTTTATTCCTACAATTTTAATAAAATTTCACCACGCAATTAAAAATTAATTTCAAAAATTTTAATAAAATTTTTGTCAAGAATTCAATTATTTACAAAATTTTAATAAAATTTTTGTCAAGAATTCAATTATTTCAAAAGTTTTAATAAAATTTTTGTCAGGAATTTAATTATTTGAAAAGTTTTTTTTGTAAATTATTTGAAACAATTTTTTTGCAGAAATTCAATTATTCAATTACACGAAAGAATTCAATTATTTTCAAAAATTGTTAAATTCTTCACAACAATACAACAATTATTTTTATAAATAATATAAAGTTCTTAATAGAAATTAACAATTATTTTCAAAAATTTTAGTAAATTACTTTGTAGAAATTCAATTATATTTATAAAAAAAATAAAATTTTTTAAATTAATTCAATTAATTTTAAATATAATTTAATAAAATTATTTTCAGGAATTTAACTATTTTCAAAAATTTTCTTTAAATTCTATGCAAAAATTAAATTATTTCAGATTTAAAAATGATAATAGCATTAAAAATTCAGAACATTTTTTAACAAAAATATTATCCGTCTCAGAATTAAAAAAATTTCACTTATTAGCTTGAAATTATGGAAAATAAAATAATTTCTAAATTATTTATTTACAGCATAAACGAATTTACTTATTAATGATTGTATATCATTGTATGATTATGGCAATGATTATTATAATAATGATGCTAATAAAAATAAAAATACTAATTGCTAATAATAATACTAATAATACTAATAAAGATAATATATAATAGTGATAATAAATTTAATAAAACATGGAAAACATTATTTAAAAAATAGAAAAAATTATAAAAAAAAAGATTCAAGAGGAAAATTAGAAATGAATTTATATTTAGGTAGAAAAAACTAAAAATAGAATTTATTAAAATTCTTTTTATTCATTCAATTAAAATTATGGCTTATTATATGCTGTATAATATCCCCCTATAATATTTAGTGTAATGTATTTTAAGAACATAAAAAAATAATAAGTCGATAACTAAATTATTGGACAAGTTTTATTGCCAGGAAATTTATATTAGTATAACAAACCCTAAGTAGTTTTTAATGTTGTTTGCTTTATATGTGTGCAAAGAAAAAAAAATATATATATACAAATATTCGTTTTTCGGTATTTAGAACAAAGTTTCATAAATTTAGAATTATTGTACGATTATAACAAAGTTTCTCTATTTTATTCGCTCCATTTATAATGATTCGTAAATAGTTATATACACGCTTTAATGAAACTATAATTTAAACATTACATAACTCTAGTCTCATAAAAACTTATATATATATATCGACAGTTTTCCACTATTTTATTATTTATATACTTTTAAATCAAAAAGAAAAAACGCAGGTGTGTTTATAATTTTAAAGAAAATATGGGAAAAAATAGAGTAAAAATTTATTTAATAATAGACAAGAAATTGTTTATTTTAATGAAATAATTTTTTTTTCATTATTATTTTGACTACGTATTATTATTATTTATATTATTTATTTATAGTTGTAAATATTAATAATAAATTTGAATTAGTAAAAACGTTTACTAACTTCAATTAGTGACTGATTTTTTTGCTCTTGAATTAGTAAATTTTACTAATAAATAGTAATTTCTACTAATTTATTAATAAAACTTAGTAATTAAATTACAATTCATTTATTAAATTAGTAGAAATTACTTTAAAATAGTTGGTAAATAATAAATCTTTACTAAATTTTTAGTAAATTTTACTAAATATTTAGTAAATTAGAATTTACTTATTAAATTAGTAGTAATTACTTTTTTAAAAATTTTCTTTTTACATATTTTCAATTTTAAAATTAATGTATTGAAAAACATTGAATTCTTGCAAAGTATTTATAGTAAAAAAATTTGAAAATAATTGAATTCATTAAATGAATTTTATC